CCCGGCTTCGGATGTGAAACATTGCCAACAATTACAGCTTTACTACTACTTGGCGAGTGCGAACAATCTCCACACGAACACCATGGTGCCCCAAGTCCTAAAAGAGGATGTGATGTGCTTGTCGTCCTTGCCACCCCGCCCGTGAAAATTTCCGGCGAAAGTATCGAAGTCCAAGTACCTCTCAACCGTATATAAGGATCTAGGCGCAACAAAGTACATTCAGATTCATCGTTTCTTCGAGGAAGAAATCCTCTCCTTCCTCAAGCCTTCATTTGCTCATATCAGCCAAGATCTAGATTCATTGCGAACGGCATTATATCTTCCCAATCAACATCAACCACAACCTGGCCTATTTGACCGCCGCGCTGGCGTAAGGATGAATGCAAATCGAGATTCCGACAGCAGAGTCAAAGAGACGGCGAAACCCAATCCTGAAGGGTGCTGTGACGAGTTCCTTGCAATTCTTTTCCAAGCGATATGGCACACAATAAAGACAAATGCATCTGGCGCAGCATGATCAGAAAAGAATGAGGATATGAAAGCAGTATAGTATGTCTGGTTTGATTTCAATTTTTCATCGACATTTTCTTGGGACATGTACATACCACATACGCCATTTCATTTTAGATCTGATGTACATACTACTTCTACTATGTCCCGGATTTACGGACTTGGGATGTCATTCTTCAAACGGCTCGAGATAATGAGCTGCTACTATCATGCCTTCCAGTCCTTTATATACTTAACATTTGGGATAAATCGTTGATATTAGGTTTTCCATTCCAGAAAAACATTTTTGAGGGTGAAAGGACGTAGCGCATGGCCAAATCAGTAGAATAAAATAAAATGGTAAAAGTAACTCTTTGCCTGGGAGTCGAACCCAGCTTTCGCGCGTTTTTAGAAATGACAGGCGCGTGTACTAACCGATATACTAGCAAAGAACTTGAACGAGAGCAATTCTTAAATGCTATATCTAGCTATAGTCGTTGTCGGAGGTGATTTAACTTTAAATCACGACTCGAGTCGAGCCCAATTACAGTGTGCTAATAGGATTCTCGCCGATAGCAGACGGTGATGAGGTCCAAGACTAGTGCTGTTTCACATTTGGCTGCAACCACTGGATTGATTGGTGACGGCGGCATAATCAATATCAGTCGATAACATATACACGGTGCACGTCCAAAAGTTCTTGAAACTCTTCAGAAGCCTCCGTTCCCTCGCTCGCAGGGTCGAGGTGCCCCTAACCATGTCGATACGTATGACAACCGTCGGTGATAACAAGAGACAACTTC